GCAACTGCGTATCTTCATTTTCTAGGGTGCCAGCTCTGGGTGTAGACGGAATCGATCCGATTTCCCTGCAATCCCTGACCGAGTTCCCCAACACGCAAGACATCGTCAGTAGCAGCACATTGCGTGCGCTTGAGGGTCCAAGTAATTGATAACCATATACTTCCCAAAACCTACACTCCAATAACCCTAAACCCTAGACCCTATTATTCCTGGTGCCAACTTCCCCGTGACCCATTATTCAATTTTGGGGTACTTAGCTTTTCCGAGGTCTGTTCGGGAAGCGAGTAATTAAAGAGGTCGGACAGATGTTCCATGCACACCTCTGCACAGCAGATATAGTGCTCCTTCACGTGATATGCAGGAACACCCAAACCATCTTCCCGAAACTGGAAACCGCAGAGCCTAAACCGGCACTGCTAGCTACAGAGTTGGGCCCCCTAGTCGCATAATCATACTTATATGGCGCCGAATTTAGGATGTATCACCATCTTAGCTTCATTCTACTCCAACAACAACAACAAGTGGCCCCTCCTTGCAAGGGGATTGATGTTTGGGGGCTTGCAAACATTTGCTTCCCCTATACTGCCCCCCTAGGTCCCTAGGCTTCCCCTTCATTAGCTTCAAATAGGGTTTAGGGGTTTAGGGTTTGCGTTAGGGTTTAGGGTTTAGGGTAGTTTTAGATAAACCTGATCAAGGGGGAATTTTGCGGTGACAGTAGAGAAGAGTAGTAGAGGAACCCCCTTATATCTCAACCCCAAATCCTAAACTCTTAAACCTCTAACATGTGGAGCAAGGCAACCATTGTCACCATTTTTCTGCTGAACCTGGCTCTCTTGCTACTAGGCAACAGAGAAGCTTGGAAGATGTTGAGAAGGATCCCTAGTCGATCCCTAGACAGACTGTAGCCTAAATTCCTTAAAGGGGGTTATATAGGGTATTCTAGAGGGGACTATTATAGGGGNNNNGAGTTTAGACTACAGCTCAAATATAATGTGAAGTAGGTTTCTTCTATACCATCGAACTAAGCAATTAGCAACCTTAAGGGGTCGAAAGGCTATCTCCCAAAGGTCTCCCCCCAGATGTGAGCCCTATTTGATCCTTCTTGGCTCCTCAAATTCTGGGGGGGGATAGGTGGTATTCTAATCCCTCACAGTATATGTTTTGGATTAGTATTCCCTTGCATGGGTACTAGGATAATAGCCTTTATGTTAACCCTAATCCCAAAACCATCCTAAACCCTAAGCNNGTGCTCACCAACAGTCCGGGATCCCTTCGTGTGGGCGTTACCATTTCATGTTCATCTCATTTCGAGGTTTATAAGGGGGCCCTCGATTGTTTAGGAGTTGAGACTCAACACGGCTTAGAACTAATTAAGGGTTTAGGGTTTTGCGCGGGTCTTCTCTTCTGTAAGGGTCCAAGTACGCAAGAGACATGCAATTACTTCCGCAAGACCTCTATACTACAAATGATATTGCTTCTAAGTGCCCAATTGGAAGACACCCCAAACTCAAATTATAGAATTATTTTCTTCGATACTGTGCGTCAACACAGCCCAGGAGACACGTGTAGCTCTCGGCAGCCGCTGGGCCAATAGCTTTGAGGATGATATGGCTTTCCGCAATGGTTTAGGGTGTAGGGTTTA